CAGAGTAGAAAGGATTTTAATCTGTCAACTTTATGATCATAAGCAGTTAAACAAGTTTTAAATGAAAACAACTATTGAAAAACTAGTTTCTAAATAGTACTTATGGGCAGAGGTCCAGAAGACATGCAGTACCCAGCTATACCACTCCTGGGCATATACCCAAAATATGTTCCACCATGCCACAGGACATTTGCTCAAATATGTTCATAGCAGCTTTATTTGTAATAGTCAGAAACAGGAAACAACCCAGATGTCCCTCAACTGAAGAATGGGTAGAGAAAATGTGGTACATTTACACAATGGAATGCTGCTTGGCTATTAAAAACAAGGAAATCATGCAGTTTGCAGGCAAATGGATGGAACTAGAAAATATCATCCTGAGTTAAAGACACAGATGGCATCACCCACTTATAAGTGGATATTAGCCACATACTACAGAATAACCATACTACAATCCACAGACCCAAAGAAGGTAAGTAACAAGGAGTGCCTAAGGGAGGATGCTTGAATCTAACTCAGAAGAGGAAATAAAATAGACTGTGGAAATGGATGAAGAGAGAGACCTGGGTGAGAGAGAGGGTGGGAAGTGAAAGGGGTGGGAGAGAGAACGGAAACCAATGGGAGAACATCTCTGAGACAAGCTTGAGATCTGCGAAAGGGTCAGCTTCTGGGAGGATATGGGTGTGACTCTGGCATTAGGGGATATAGAGACTGAAATGGCCAGAGAGGACTTTCAATGGAGGGAGGAAGGAGAGACCAACCCACCAACAAAACCTTCAAACCAAAATTTACTCTGCCTACAGATGTGCAGCTATAAAGGTGGAGCAGAGATTGAGGGAATGGCCAAGCAGTGACTGTCCCAACTTGGGACCCACTCCATGGAAGAGCACCAATCCCTGCCACTATTAATGACACTTTGTTATGCTTGCAGACAGGAGCCTAGCATAACTATCCTCTGAGAGACTCTACCCAGCAGGGGATCAAAACAGATTCTGAAACACAGCCAACCATTAAGCAGAGCTTGGGGTGCCCTGTGTAAGAGTTAGGGAAAGGACAGAAGAACCTAGAGGGGACAAGAACTCTGCAAGAAGACCAACAGAGTCAACTAACTGAGGACCAAGAGACTAAACCACCAACCAAACAGCATGCATGATCTGGACCCAGGCCCCCTACACATATGTAGTAATCGGCAGCTTAGTCTTCATAAGGATTCCCTAGCAATTGGAGCTGTCCTCTGACATGGACTCTTTTGCCTGCTTTTGGATCACTTTTTCCTAGCTGGGCTGCCTTGTTGGGCCTCAGTGGAAGAGGATGGGCTTAGTCCTGATAAGACTTGATGTGCTGTGGCGGGTTGGTGGGGAGAGTTCCCCTTTTCTGAGGAGAAAGGGAAGGGTGAAAAAGGAGGGGATGGAACCTACTTCATGCAGTGAATGCAGGAATAAAAACTATAAGAAAAGCATCTATTGCTTAGTATAACAGGCCTATAATCCCAGAAACTTGGGAGGCTAGGTAGGAGTCTGACAATTTCAAGACCTGCCTGGTATACAGAGCGAGAGTTCAAGGCCAGCCGGAGCAACTTAACAAGTCTTTGTCTCAAAATAAAAAAGTTTTAAAAGTATTTATTTTATTTTTTGAGATTCTAAAACAATTACATCATTTCTCCCATTTCTGTTTTCTCCCTCCAAACCCTCTCAGATACCACTGTTTGCACTTTTTCAAATTCATGACCTTTTTTAAATTGTCTGAAAATATATTACTATATATAATCTGTCCAGTCTGTATAATGCTACTTGTGAGTATGTTTTAATGGCTAATCATTTGATATCTGATAGCCTATAGGTGTTCTCTTCCCTGGGGAAGACTATTTCCCCATCTTTCAACATTCCCTGGTTGCCTACAGCCCCTTGTCTATGTTGGTCCCTTCTGGGCTTTCCCTAGCCGCATTAGCATGTCTATTGTTCTTGTTCACGTCATGTTTAGGCAGACGAGTTGGTAAGACTTTAAAGGTGTATTTTCTGAGATCATTAGGAGACACAGCCTCACAGAAAACTAACTCCCTGGCCCTCTCTGGCTTTGACAATCTTTGCACCCCCTTTTCCCACACCGATCTCTGAGCCTTAGGTGTGGGAGTTGTATCTTAGATGTATCGTCTGGGACTCAGCTCCACAACTCTGCATTTTCTGTTGGTTGTGGTTTTCTTCAACGGTCTCTGTTGAAAGAGAAGTCTCCTTGCTGTGGTCTTAGGATGACAGTTATTGGGACAGACCCTGGAAAAGGATGTGAGGTGTCTAGCTGGGTGCAGAGGCTGGACGAGATGACTTTTTTGTTGTTGATGATGGTGTTTTGTTTTCGGTTCGTTTTTAGTTTCTTAATTTTTTTTTTATTTTTGCCTAAGGAGATAGCTCAGAGATAGAGCACTGTTGAGCATGTACAATATCCTGCTC